ATCGAAACACTCTGTTATTATTGTATAGATCCCTAATTAGATCAAAATTGGATTACAGTAATTTTATATACCGTTCAGCCAGAAAATCCTATTTAAAAATGCTTGACCCGATCTACCATGGAGGTTTGAGGTTAGTACTCGGAGCCTTTAGAACATCTCCAGTCGAGCCTATATGCTGAGGCTAACGAAGCACCTGCAAATAGTAGAAGCCATAAATTGGCCCTCCAGTACTATGTCAAATTAGGGTCATGCCCAGCAAATCCTGCGTACAATAGTACCTTCTATCCAAAATACAAAGAATTATTCCAAAGGAAAAAAAAAAGCCATAAAACCCTTTGGACTTCGGATGGAAACAATTATAGAAGAAGCAGATGTAGATTTGAAAAAATCCATAAAACAATCATACCAGATATCCCACCTTGGACCATAAGAACCCCAAACATAAACTTAACCTCTGTAAATACTTACAAAAATAAAAACCCACCCACTAATTTTCCAAGAGGAATTAGAGAAAGTTAAGGAGAGATATCCTAGGCACTCACATGTCTTCACAGATGTATCTAAAGTAGGAAAAATAACAGGATGTGCCGCAATATATAATAGAAAAATATTTAAAAACATCTCCCAAATGACACCTCTATATTCAGTGCAGAAGTTTGCGCAATTAACATGGCTCTTAACCTCATCTCAGAATCAAGGAACAACAAGTTCATTATCTTTTCTGATTCACTATCAGTATTAGAATCACTAAAAAACAGGAAGTTTGATAATCCATTGATAGTGAAAATACTATGTAAATTAGAACACCTATCAAATGATAATGATATACAGATATGTTGGGTCCCAGGTCACACTGGAATCGGTGGAAATGACCAGGCAGATAAAGCAGCCAGGTCTACTCTAAATATGACCATAGAAAAAAATTTCAAAATACCATATACAGACCTTAAAATGAAGATAAATAAATACATACTGCAACAAAGACAACAACGCTGGAACAGCAATAGTAATAATAAATTACTAAAAATTAAACCTGAATTGGGAGAATGGAAACAGAGCTATAGGAAAAATAGAAAAGAGGAAGTGATATTGTCCAGACTTCGTATAGGCCATACAAAGGACAACACATTCCTACTTACTTGAAACAAAGCAACAACCAATGTGTTATGCATGCCAGACCGCATACACAGTGAAACACATTCTCATTGAATGTACTGACCTAGCCCATATAAGAGAAACGCTTTATAGTGCAAGTAACATGAAGGAACTGTTCCAAAAAACTGACATGGATAACATAATATCGTTCCTGAAAGCAGTCAATTTGTACCAAAAAATCTAAAACATAAAAAGTTGGGAGTTTTCTGCAAACTTTGCTGCAAGGAATTTTTTCAACAAAATCTGATTCTTTCTGCATACCATTTCTCAAAAAAGGAAGAAACTTCCTACGATACAATTCTCTACAAAAATTTTTTGACAGAACCAGATTTTTCTACAAACCATTTCATTTCTAAAAACCTTTTTCAGCATGGCAAACCTCTCCGTTTGTGGAAATGGAAGGGACTATTATATTGGAAAATAATATTCCAATAATAACCTGATTTGACATTAAATGACTGAGGAGGTCGATATGTCGTAAAACACAAACAAACAAACAAACAAACAAGGCCACTTAGTAATAAACCAGCACTGCACGCTGCCGGGTCCGCAACATGATTGGTGACCCTGCGACGTGATTGAACATGCAGCAAGATTGGCGAACTTGCTGACTACTTCTGATCAATAAGATTGGTAACATACCAACTTGATTTTTGAGGAACACTTATTTTGTATATGAAAGACAGGTCATTTTCTTTCGGGTCAGATTTTAAAACCTAAACGTGCATAATTTTGATAGCCAGCATGACGTCTGAAACCGGAGAGTTCTCCGAGACCTTTATACTATTATCTGTTAAATGCCTCCCGACATTTAATCCAGGGAGAAGGCTATATGGAATTAACACATTAATTCCATCTATATTTTACGCGCGCGCGAGTTTTCTCCCTTCCTTTCACACTCGTGCGTTTGTGCGCGCGGTTTTCGCCCCTTTCTTCCTCTCACAGCTAGACATAGCAGTAACCTTCGCTAGCTCCTACTGATGAACTCAGACTAACAGATTTTGAATTTTTTCCCGCGCGTTTTTCGGCGTCTCAAACGGCCAGCGTTTGCAAGCCAGTTGCCTTCCGACTTTCGACCTAACTAGACGGGCAACTCATTTATTCCGTGCCCTTAACCCATATGCGGGCCGGGATATCTTATTTCAACAATGTCGACCTCACACTTTACCAAGACTTTTTCTCGTCTTGACGTTACCCGCAGGTCAACCAGTTGTTTCCCGATCTTCAACCTAACTAGACGGGCAACTCATTTATTCCGTGCCCTTAACCCATATGCGGGCCGGAATATCTTATTTCAACAATGGCGACCTCACACTTTACCAAGACTTCTTCTCGTCTTGAAGCTGCCCGCAGGTCAGACCTTCTCCGTTTTCGACCAGAAGACGTTAGAGACACACGACACAGTCGTGAGCAAAACTTCGTATTCAACTAATGGCTTATTTTTATCCCTCGTCAGTGAACCAGTAAATACAGACAGGGATATCCTACTGACGAACAACTTGCTATCCGCAGGTCAGACCTTCTCCGTTTTCTGCTAGAAAATGTTCGAGACACACGACACAGTCGTAGGCAAAAACTTCGTGTTCAACAGGTGACTTACACTTACCCCTCGTCAGTGAACCAGTAAATACAGACAGGGATATTCTTACTTACGAACAAACATTTTTCGTCTCTCTGGGCTCGCCGTAAACAACTCCACAAGACCATGAAACTCGCTTCAAACATTCTTCGTTTCTCCTGGCTAGATGCCCACATCATTCCGGTAAAATTTCCAGCAGCCAAATTAAATGCCTCACCAAAAACTCTGAGACGACCGAACATTCTTTCTAACTATGAACCTGAACAAAAAAAAATAAACCACACACTTACAACACCAAAAAAAAAATCCACAGTGAGTATTCCTTTCTATCTGTGAGCACATCCTTTTTCCAGAACCTTATAAAACTCTTTTTCCCGCCTTAGCCATCTTGCTTTCTATTTTGGCGCGGGACATTTTTTATTAATCTCGTACCACGCGATAAGTTACTTGTTTCCATCTAATTAAAGTTACACATGTTTTACAAACAGATGTCTTTTTCATTTTATTTCGGCTATCTCTTTGATGTTTATTAATTTATGCACTTGTTGATTGATCCATTTCCTCTCACTGTTCATTCACGCATTATTTATTTTTTTTTTACATTGCTTGTGGACTTGGTAGTTTAGTGTGGTGTCTGGCACAAGGCCACTTAGTAATAAACCAGCACTGCACGCTGCCAGGTCCGCAACAAACTATCTTTATGTACAATAGAAATAATTAAGAAAGAGTTGAAAAAACAAGATGTCATTGATGTTAAACGAACTTCAATAAAAAAAGAAGGTAAAATGATAGAAACAAACACCTATATAATGACATACAACCAAAAAATACCAGAGAAAATTAAAATAGGCTATACAAATGGAGAGGGTGAAAGCAGTTTTATTTTAACCCTCTGAGATGTTATAAATGTCAAAAATATGGACATCATGAAGATACGTGTAAGAGGACGATATATATATGGTAAATGTATATAAAAAATCCTATACCATTACATGAATGAATGTGAATTTCCCAATAAATGTGCTAACTGTGGTGGTGATCATCCGGTCTACGCAAGATCTCGCGACAGCTGGAGAAGAGAAAAGGCAATTTTATCAATAAAGCACAAAAATAACATTCCTTACCAAGAAGCACGAAAGATGCTAGTAAGGTCGAACACTACCACATATTCCCAAGTAGTCCACCAGGGAAAAAAACAACAGAACAAATATGAAGAATTTGTCAAAACATTAATGCAGCTGAGACTGGGACAATTCTATTAAGATAAAAGCCGTGGTCTTGATAAAAACAATACAGCTACAGTTTCAGAAACACCAACTACTCAAAGTAATCCTGCAGACAAAGGAGAATCTTCCACGAAAACGACTACAAAAACAGCAGCGCAGACACAAACCACTTCTGCTAAGAAACAAAAGTCGCAGAAATCATCAAGCCATCCTCCTACTTATAAAAGTGACAATCTTGGGAAAAATCAAACATTAAATCCCGAACCAAACAATCTAAAATAGATAATACTCAAACTTCATCCTCACGGGAACGGGTAAAGTGTCGAACTTGATAAGTCAATCTACAGAATTATCAACATTGCGGGGTATGAGAAATAAAAGATAAGAGGGAAATGTACTTATCGGGTTGAATTGTTTTGGAGTTAGCTGTAAATTTGTTGTTGTTTTCCTTTCCTACCCCACTTTCTGCTCTTAGTGTCTGGTTGAATCAGTGACGGACCTGACTGTCAGTCTTCTGTCCTCTATGATCTCTGCGCCCTTCTGACTGGTGACCTGAGTCTCTCTATTTATAGCTGACTTTTTTTCTCATTGGATCGTTCTTTTTTTTAGTTTAGCAAATCGCCTCCTTTCATTGGTCAGAAAATTAATTTCACACCTTATTGCGGAAATCTGTTTTTAGTCATTTTGATCCGATTTATATGTGCAAATCTACTTTGTGTTTTTCAGTTATTTTGTTGGAATGATATAGATTTGTATCCTATAACATCAAAGTTGATATAAAAAATAGATTTAGCTCGATAGAAAGAATGGAGACTGAAGATATGAGCAATATAAACAAATCTAGGAAAAACAATAAGCCTAAATTAACATAATGAAATATATATCAAAATAATTCAATTCTACAATGGAACTGCAGAGGAATTAGAGCCATATATGAAGGATATATAATATCCTCGATAAATATAACCCCAAAGTTGTAAGCCTTCATGAAACATTTCTCATGGACAATTAAACCAGCTAAACATTAAAAATTACAATTCATGGTTACAATCACTTACACAAAGACGGAAACAGAGAAGATGGAGGTGTACCGATCCTAATTAGGAAAGACATACCTCAACACTAAATAACCATAGACAGGGAACTCCAAATAATTGCTGTCAAAACAACATTGCAAAAACAGTAAATATCTGTTCTATCTATATACCACCACATGGGACTATTAATGATATTAAATTTAACAAGTTAATAAAACAAATTCCTAAACCTCACTACGTTTCTGGAAAAATAATGTTGCCAGCTATACGTTTCTGGAAAAATAATGTTGCCACTTATACGTTTCTGGAAAAATAATGTTGCCACCTATACGTTTCTGAGAAAATAATGTTGTTTGCCACCTATACGTTTAATAGTACTAATATATATATATATATATATATATATATATATATATATATATATATATAAACTTAATTTGGCATTAAATGACCTATAGTGGTTGATATGCCATAAAACTTAACCAACCATTTGACTTCCAGTTTTCTAGACATGCTGCTGTTCATTTTTGAGCATTCTCATGTATTAATGAATACCAAGCAAACTGATTGTTGTCTAATAAATTATATTTACTGTCAGTTAATGCAATTTCAATTTTTGAAATTTATGTTTTCATCCACCCCATGTCTTTTTTTTATTGAAAAACATTATTTGATATCTTTTTTTTTTTCTTTTTCAGGGCCTTACGATCAAACCCCTTGTTAAGTTTTTGAAGGTTACCTTGCAGAAGAAAGAAGAACCAAACTGTCTAATATTTCTCACATCTGATGTAAGGTTGCACTTACATTACACATGCTACTTTTATTAAACAAACTGCATTCATTATTTTACTGACATTAATGATGACAAAAACACTAGTGTTAATTTTCAAATAGGCTATCATTTTAGTCATTCTTGTAAACTTTAGAATTCATTTGAACAACTGCTGAGACCTGGATCTGCACCGAATATACAAACATTTGCTTTTTTTATTTTTCACTTAAATGCTACAAATTACAAATTTCTTGACTATTTTCCCACATTATAATTTAATTTTTCATCGCCTTTATATAAAAATAACCCCAAAACTAATGTTATTTCATCTCTGTAAACCTTATTTTCTATTTTTGCCTCATTTGGGTTAGATTTAGTAGATAAAGTTGCAAGATGTACCAGATGTTGATGTCATAAATTAGTAGTGAGTGTCAAGTGATTTTTTTTTTATTATAGTTATTGAGCTAAATTCCGTACTTTATTTTTCTGATGTGTAATGATTTTTCACAAGGCCATTGACCTGTGTTTAAAGAAAAATTTATATAGTATTCAATTTGATGAGTTTATTGTCTTTGTTCAAATGTAGGTTTCTGATCACTTAATGGCTGGAATGGAAGACATCATTGGCTTTCATGGAAAATATTATCTTAAGGTAATTTTTCTTTTGTTATTTTCTTGTTTTTGTTTTTAATTCTCCCACCAACTATATTTATGAACTTTCCATTTTATAAATTATGCAACCCTCCAATCTTTTTTTATTTATCTATATTTTTATTTATAACCCTTTTTTATATATATATATATATATATATATATATATATAAATATATATATATATATATATATATAGTTAAAAATAGAAAATAAAAAGAACACGTTGGGTGCATAATCCGGGGTTCCTTTGTATTTTTATTTTAAAGAAGACAGTGCTCCATACATAAAGTAGACCTTTATTATAATAATATTTTTTGTTTTAAAAGGAAGGAATTTTTTTAAACAATATATATATATATATATATATATATATATATATATATATATATATATATATATATATATATATATATATTACTTTTTTCAAGAAAATTTCGACATAAATTGTCATGGTTCTCTGTCCCTTCCCATTTCCTCTCTCTCTCATCTCCCCCCCCCCTCTCATCTCCCCTCTCCTCTACTCTCATCTCTCCTCCTCGCCTCTTCCTCTTTTCTTTTAATATTTCCTGAAGGGAAAATGTCCCTGAGCAGTGGTGAGACCATGTGGTTTCCTCTGCAATTTTAATTGCCATAGACGGTTATGTCTTACTTCTCTGCTCTCTATGTAGCTACTGGTGTGGGCAGCCATGTCTTGCCTTTATAAATTTAAATGCATTACTAGATTGGTGGCAAGTCTCATGGTTTTACAGTTGCAATGGCTAAATGGAATTGTAAGTCCTATGCTAACAGTTTCTTCTCTTGTACTTCTCACTTGTCGAACTCTTTTCTAGCTTCTTGCTTTCCAGTTAACTTTGATCTTCAAAAAGTCAAACGCAACATCAATTGTTATCTTTGGCCTCCTTAATTCCTGTTCTTTTATTTTTCTCTCTACTTAAATGTTGGTTTTTCTCATATTCTCCAACACTTAATAAACCATTGCATCTTAGTGGCTTTATTGCCTTGCTTGGAATGAAATGAATATTAAAAAAAAATACTATATGTTACTTTTTCAGGAATTATTAGAGTATTACGATGACCATTATCTGAAGAAATGGTTGCAGCGAAAGCCCACCAAAGCTGATGCAGAAATTTCAAAAGTTTACGAAAAAATTATGCTGAGGTAAGCTTAAAATATCTATAATTTTTGGGTCACTCAAGGTAGAGTGTTACTGAAAGTGGTTGATGCTCAAATGGTAAAGGTAAGGGATGACGTTTATGTGGAATAAAGTCTAACCCTAAACTTAAAGAGGTTATCAGTGTAGTGGTAAGGAAAGCTTCCTCCTTGAATCCTGTTCCATTGTTATATTCCGTGCTAAGGGAATAAACACTTAACACCAGGTGGATAATAGAAGAAAGGTTTATTGTACACAACCAGTGCAATATGAAATACGGTACAGTTATATACACACAGGTCACTAATTGGAAGGTCGGATGTGCTTGCATCGTCTCGCTCACACTTTGTTCTCTCTTGTCTCTCGTAGATGGTTGACTTTATAGGTACCTTGCTACCTATAGTGTAATCATTCATGAGGGTGACTGGTTATTCCATTACACCATCCATGAAGCAACGGTTCTCTGGAAGAAGCTATCCAATTGGAACTTGCTCCTTAGTAAAGGAATATAAATGGAATAAGTGTGGTTCACCTAAATGTAAACAGTGGGGCAGGTTTTATCTGAGTAGTTTAATGTTGTAGAAATATTTTCCATGGAAATAATGGTAGAATAGTGAGAAGGTAACAACTCTCTACAGAAGAATGCTAAGGATATCATGGACTAAGCGGGTGAGCAACGATGAGCTCTCAGAGAGGTTGTGAACAAGGAGGAAGCTTATACTTAACATCAAGAAGAGACAGCTGAAGTTTCTGGGGCACATAATGAGGAAGGAGGGCCTGGAGAATCTGATACTCATGGGTCGAATAGAAGGAAAGAGAGACCTGGTAAGCTTAAGCAATTGGTCTGGGAGAGGAAGCAAAGGGAAGGAACTTGTTGAGAGCTGCAAGGGATAGAAAGAGGTGGAGAGCCATGATCGCCCACGTTCTGAAAGGACATGGCACATTATCACTGTATAGAGTGACCTCATTGAGCGGATGTCATGTGACCCATATGACTTATTGCCACCAAGGGCAGATAGGTGCCTTCTGTATACTTATGGGTTTTATTGCAATTGTAATCATTGCTTTTTAAAATGATAAACATCACTGAAGATAGTTTAAAAAAAACAAAAAGGCAGTGTCATGGGAAAAACCATTCTTTTGATGTACTATCCTATTGTAGGCATCATGTTCCATGATTGCCAAAATTTGATTTGTCACTTGATAAATATTAAGGAAAAACCTGCTGTAAGATGTTTAAACACTCCACAATATTGACATTAATACTTCTTTATCTGCAATGTTCATTCAGGGTATATGCAATTATGGCTGTCCACAATTTCTTGTCCTTTGTAGCTCTTAATAAAGTTTGTCTTTTTTTTATCTCTCCTAAAACTTATTCCAATGTCCATTTACTCAAACTTGCTAGGTAGGTTATGTGTTATTTTCCTCTGTCCCTCTTGTTTTTAATCTATCCTGTGAGTATCAAATTTTCCAATACTTCTTTCTTTATTAGTTACTCTAGAAATTCCAACTGTCTTTTCAGGATGTTAAGTGTAATTGTCCTTTTTGCTTCTCAGTAACCTTCTGTAGAACCACGTTTCTGTTGTTTCAGATCTCTTCTTCATCTGTGATGAGATTGTCCATCATTTACTGTCCTATAGGAGGACTGATATTACATAACAGTTCAGTACTCTTTTCTTTGCTACTAATGAAATGTTTCCAGTTTTTAAGACTTAGCCTTTTGGAAGGCAACTTTTGCTACCCCTGTGTGCCTTCAGATTTCAGTGTTGCATTTTCCGTCCTCCGTTAAAGCATTATCTGGATATTTAAATTGTTCTATTGGTCTAATTTTGGTATCTCTGTAATTTGCATGTTGGGCTGTTCCTTCTGCTAACAACCATGCAGTCTGTTTAGTACTACATAATGCAAAGGCCAGGGCCACAATGGTCAGTGATTGGTCGGAGTGTCTTATGAGCATGGTATTCTGACAGTGATGGATTGCTTTTGTCTGGGTTTAGGATATAACTCCAAAATGGCATGAATTTAACAGATGACCACAAGACTTCTTAATTGCAGATATACCTCCCACGCACAGATTACTGACCAGCTTATATCACCTGCAGAGAGGCACTGAGCTAACATGCAACATGCGTTCCTGTGACCACATTCTTCCCACCACCTGATAGAATCCAAGCTACCACCACTCTCTCCTAATAAACCGAATAACAAAAAGAAATAGTCCTTTTCATTGATGCCATTTTTGTATAGTAGTTTGGAGACCCATAGATGACACATAATGCAACATTAGTTCTTTCTTCTTGCTTTCCTTCACTACCTTCTGTAGTTTCCTTTCTCTTTCTGCTGTCAAGATTGTGTCATCGGCATATTTTATGCCATTAAGATTATGGCCACCAATGATGAATTCTGATTGGATTTCTAATTCTCTCAGAATTAACCTCACTGTATAATTTCAGTAATTCCAGTGAGACGACACATATTGTCTTTATTTTTATTTTTGTATATTTACTGAACTACTGGATGAAAATAAGTTAAACATTAAAAATCTATAAATTAATGCCAATCTACATAGTCTTTCATAAACATAAGCCCATTGACTTGTGCTATAAATGCATGGAAACCATATCATTTGGAGATTTTCACCAGCTGTAACAAATAAAAAGGATAGAAAATGTAACTTGAAGAGAAAATGACATAATCATAATGTTGACATTCCACTTAACTTCAAACAAAAGGTTAGGAAGGAAACTCCCATCAGCAATGGGAAAAAAAAATAATGGTAAACTTGAATTTTATTTTCCTAAGAACAATTTTTTTTTTTAAAAGAAACAGTTTCTACATTTCAACTGTTAGTATCAAGTACTTGGTGAATAAATGCTGAATGTTTCCTTATAAGGAAACAGTTAATTTTGCTATTAGTGTTAGAGATGAGAAGAAAAGATACAACACTCTGATCCCACCCCAATCACCAGGGAGTAAAAGGAAGCATGACTTTATCACTGCTTGATCAGGCAATGAACACTGAATGTTTCCTTATAAGCAAAGGGTTAATATTACCATTAGAGATGAGAACAACAGTTACTACACTTTGATCAGAGATATAGAAGAGTAGCTAATATATGGTAAAACGAAATTACTACAAGTTTGTGATTCTCTTCTCTTTTTGCAGAGATCATTTCAAAAATCTCGAAATGTCTGGTGCAAAGAAATTTCCAGATCATGTGTAAGTTTAATTTTTTTTTTTTATTTATATATTTTTAAAAAATTTTTTATTATTTATTTTTTTGGTATGTGTGCATGTACAGCCAGTGGTGATGTCTACATTTTTTTAATGATTGCTCTGAGTTGCCCAGCAGCTGGAGAGAATGTATATTTTTTTTTTATTTTTTATTTTTTCTTGCTCCACACACGATCTTAAAACTACTCAGCTTATTAATCTTTTTTTTTTTTTTTAAATCCTTTAAATGATTTTCTTGCCTCACTCCTAAGATCAATAGTGATTTGATTGACTAAAGACTGAGTCTTAGCAATTTTGAGCATTGTGAACTGGTGCTACTGAATCACTAAGAAAGAACTGTAATAATTAACAGAAACAGTAGCAGCAATAGCTAAAATAGATAGCATGTGTAACTTGGAGAAAATACGGACACAATCAAGATGTTAACATTACACACCACTTTAAATAGGTTTGGAAGGAAGCTCCCATCAATACCAGAAAGAGCAATAACAGTTACTGGATTTGAGAAACTTATTTTCTAGAAATAATATTTTAAGAAAAAGATTTTATAAATTTCCACAAAAAACATTATTGGCTGTTTGGTCCATTGAACAAGAAATGTTTCTTTGATGAGAAAAGACTAATATTACCATAACAATTTCTTTAAGACCTCCTTCAAACAAAAAATGTTAGGAAGGAATCTTCCGACAATACTGGAAAGAAGGCTTCAAGTTACTAGACTTGAAAAGACAATTTTCCTGAAAAACTGATTTACAGAATGATTTTGCAAATTTCAATCAAAAATGGCTTCTCAGTAAATGAATGCCAAATGATACCTTATTAGAAAACTACTAATATTACCATTTAGAGCAGGGGTCACCAATGTTTTGGAAAGAGACAAGACCAGAAAGTTATGCAGTGTCTCAGAGGAGGGCCATGATATCAAATTGTTTCTAGCTCAAACCACTCTGTGACGAAGGCTGTCGTAGTCTGTAGATTTAAAGAAAAAAAAAAAAAAAATTAATTTTGGTCTATATTTCTGAGATGAGGTATTGTAATTATTTACAGTGTTCTGACTGTTGTCCTCATCTTTATTGCCATATTCATACCATTTCTGCCATTGTACACTCTGGCCTTCTTCAGGTGATTGGAATTTTGAACAGAAACCTTTATTTTTTTCCACTGTGTAGATAGTCCTCAAGGACACATGGCCCAGTGGATAAGTGTTGATTGGATCCAGTGACTTGACCCAAAGAGTTGTGAGTTCAATACCTGGCTACTGTAGAGGTGAACAAAAACTTGGAGAGTTGAGTTAAAGGGAGAGAACTGAGACATCTGAAAGGCATGGCACATGGAACTAGAACAATCTACTCTGGTGAAGGAAAATAAAGGGTTCCTTTCAAAATTCCAATCACCTGAAGAAGGCCAGAGCATACAATGGCTGAAATGCTGTGAATATGGTAATAAAGATGAGGACAACAGTTTGAACAATGTAAATAATGTAAAGCTAATGTAATAATATTTAAACAAAGTTCCTTATTTTACTGCAGGAATAACAGGATAACAACTAACACAATCAACAAAAAACAAATTCTTTACAAAAGTAATACATTATTTAGTGAGACACTTGTTTCTGCTTATTGTTCAATAACTTCTCTACATCAGGTGAAATATTTGTCGGTGACAGGAGGAAAATATCATTCAGGTGGTCATCACCCAACCTTCTTCTTAAATGACTTTTAGCATATTTCATTTTTCAAAAAAAAATTGTTCCCAAGAATATGTACTTCCAAATAATGTTACCATCATTTTTGCATTATTCAATAGACTTCAATTCTGCTAGGCAAAACATGGATTCAGAATTCTTTTTTTATTATTTTCAAAATAAACTGATATTTTTCTGCCACTTGTTCCACAAATTAATTATGTAATTAGTGTCCAGGTGTTATATTGGTGGGTTGGACAAAAATCCTTTTTGGGCGGGATATGGACTGGGAGCTGGGGGTTGCAAACCCTTGACCTTGATTTTGCATACTTTATTATTTTTTGTATTTCAAATTTTGATCACCAAAGGTAAGAAATGTCTAAACTGGTCAGTATCTAGATGGGGGACTGCTTTGGAATACCAGGTGCTGTAAGTTTGGATGTGCATGTGGTATAATGAATAATGGTCTGGAATTGGAAATCAAAGCTGTGTTCCAATTCCAGTTGGGTTCATTATCTTCACTTATGTGCAAAATACCCTTTGGAAAGCTATGCATTCACCTCTTCTCCCCACAACTATAGAATAATTAGTAGAATTTGTATCAGAAAATCATTATCTCCCAAATAGAATTCTTACAATCTAAAAAATATTTTCTGGCTTTAAATAACCTGCAAAGAGTTGATAAACTGTCAAAAAAAAAAAAGGTCATTTACACACTTTTGGAATAAACATTTTTTTTGTTCATATTGTTAAATAGTTTTGCCTTTATTTTTTTTAGGAATTCAAATCATACTGGGTATGATATTTTTTACTTTCACTAATGTTTATTAATTAAATAGTGAACCTTAGATACATTAGACTTAACTCTGTAACAACTGCTAATTTTTTTGTTCCCTTAGATAATTTAGTTTCCCCTAGAGAGATTCACTTATGAAAGATTACCATTTTTCATTTTTAAAATAATGTTTTTAGTTTTATAACGAAGTTTTGCTTTCCTACAAATTTACCTCCTAAGTTAAAATAATTTTATTTTGTTTTTTACTACCAAAGCTAAGTCTTTGCATTTTTTTTTTTTTTTTTTTTTTTTTTACTGTCCACTAAAGTATCCCAGTTTTTTTTAACAATTTATTATTTATTTTCCTTTGTTTTTATTTATTCAGCTGATTGCATGTCTTTTTATTTGATGATTGTTCTTATAATTCCTTTTTAGATTTTTAAAAAAAAAAAAATTTTCTCATCCAAATTTTTGATTTACTTGTTAAATTTTTTTTTTTCCTAAAAAAAAATTAAATATTTTAACTTTTGTCATTTTTGGGTATGCTTCTAAAATATTTTTATGTGTATTTTTTATTTACTTTATTTTCTTAAATGATATTGCTTTATTATTCAAAACATATTTTGTTTTCATAATTTCTTAAATTTTATTGCATGACCATTTTTTTCTTTATGTCGTTTCCTATTTTTTATTCCATTTTGTTACACAAATTGTGCAGTAAAAAAGAAACAGAGAATGTTCCTGAAGAATTGCAGTTCCTTCACCCAGATACTCAAGGAGAAAGTGTCTACTTGGACACTTGGTTAAATCTGTACAAATCTCTGAAAATGAACGAGAGAAAAGTTCCACGTAGCCATCAATCAGTAGCCTCATTTAAAGAGATTTCATTGGATTTTCCTTCTACAAGGTCTGTGTGGACTGTTATTGTTGTGACTGGTTTATGTTGCTGTTCTTTTACCAACGGTTGCACCTTTTTGTTTCCTAACCAGTGGTTCTCAATCTTAGATCCCTTGGATATGTTTTCTTAAAAGACAACAAACGAAAATGCTAGATTTTTTAAGCGAATTGTTTAAATTCTTTGTAATTTATTTAGAATGTATAAGCAAGTACTAGAATCTGTCTGGTGGTATTGTTTCTTAGTGTAGTTTGTATATGGAAATAGAACCTTTAAAACTCTGCAGGCAACTTGGTTTGCAAAAGAAAATGTCCGTTCTGCAATTTAAAGTAACAATGGTATGTCTGAATTTCATGGTTGCACTGTGAAGTATGGCAACAGAAAAAGAGATTGACTGAAACTGAGAACTAGGTGATTACGAATGAGGGGCCTTAACAAAAGAATGCAGATGAACAGAAGTGGTAGCCCTAAATTGGGCAAATGGCTAAAACTTAATGTCATTAATAAATTTAATAATTAAAAAAATAGATTTAAAAAACTCAAATTAAGATGTTATTCATGCCATTAATAAACAAAATGGCTAGAAATGTTCCAGTGAAGAAAAATAATACAAAAATTTAAGCCTATTTTTTTTTTTTTTTTTGTTTTTTTTTGTTAAAGGTAAGGATGAATCCTGTATCTAAACTGATGCTTAAAAAATATTGAGCCTGTATGAATATGGTCAGGAAACAAGAATTAATAATGCAACATAGAATTGTTTTACAATATATATATATATATATATATATATATATATATATATATATATATATATAATATGGTATACTTGGGCAGGAATTTTTCATTTATGAATGTTTGTTTTTAATCAGATAAAAATTGAAAGCAAATATGGAAAGGATATAATTTTTATGCACACACACATTTACATACATTATATATATATATATATATATATATATATATATATATATAAAGGATATAAAATATGAAAGAAATATTTATTCTCCCATTTATATTTGCCCTGTTATGGACATTATTATATCCATAATATAATAATGATATTTCATGGACAGAACAGGATGTTTGAAAGGAAAAGAATGCCAAACTTGCTTTTATATTATGACATACACAAAATTATTTATACACATGTGCCACATGGGATATGTGTGTGTTTGTGTATACACACACAGTAAAGCAGAGTGTAAGGGGAAATGAAAAGGAAGGGTTTACATATAATATGGAGATACTTCTGTGCCTGGAGAAGCCATGTTTAGGACGTCAGATTCAAATGTGCTAAATTCATCTACTGTGTGCCATTTGAGGACATATTCCATGAACAGTAGCCAGCTCATCTTGGGTTTTGCTAAATTGAGGACTGTGAGCTGGATTTTCATTCTATATTTGGGAAAGATATATTCCCGAAAGGAAATGGCACCAGGGACTTGTAACCTTCTGGGGAGGTAGATTTAGCCTTTGATTGGGCTATGGGGAGCATAAAAAGAAAACAACCTTACTATTTGATTGCTGTAAACAAACTGAAATTTCACTGCCACTTTCATCACTGCAAAGACCGATGTCATTAAATGGCTGTCACATGATCCATGTAACTTATCTCCACCAATCAACCAAATGACAAATTATATGTATGTAAAATTTGTCATTTGGTTGATTGATGTCATATTGGCGTTTTGCTGATGGATGTTTCTGTAATAATTTTAGTCCATTCGTCAGGTGATATCAGCAATATTATGTATGTGTATGAGAGGATGAAAAATTTGCTTTTCAACTTTTATTGGTTTTTAATCAAACTGCCATAAATATGTATACATGTATATGGGGAGGACATTTTATATGGTGTGGAAAAAGGATTTTTCCTGAAAATATACAATTCCTATGCTCTAGATTGGGAGGATTTGTCTATCCCAGGCTGCTTCCCACCTCGTATAAAACTATGGATATGAATATGGTTAATTTTCCCCGAGAATGACAGATAAGTAAATTTTAAGATTTACAGAAAAACCTGCGCAATAAATTGATTTAAAGTGGTCAGTTGCCTGTGCCCTGCATTGCACACTCTCTGCATCATAGTACCATGTCCTGTGCAGTTTCAGTGTGTGTAACATGTGATATAGTGTGACAATTGCAGACATTTTGCAAAGGAGTTTTCCATCAACTAGCTGTATGTTGATTGTTGGCTTCTATAAGCTTATCCGCTCTTTGCCAACACTTTCTAGGCTGCTTTGAATTCAGTTTTTTCTTTCTGTAGACTGGTTGACAGCCAAGGCTAAAGGGCCAAGTCTGTCCTATTTATTCATAGTTTGGGAGCGAAGAGATTAATTTGAATCTTTCCTAAACATAAGTAAATTTAATGATTCAAACTTGGCTCAGTTTTCTTATTCAGACCTATTATAGGTTATACCACCTGAACATCCATGTGCTTGTCTATATCATATATATTTGTTGGGAAATCCATGTCAAAGTGGGAAAAGTTTCCATGTGACACATTTTTCTCTCAATGACTTCTGCAATGATGTTTATGTTGATGCAACTACACATATACCCGAAGGAGAAGTGACACTGAGAATTTTAAATATTAAACTTAATATATACACAAAACATATTTAAAAAGAAAAATTATAATTTAAAATTCTCAGCATCCCCACTCCTTTGTGTGCATGTGTAGTTGCATCAACATAAACATCCCTTCAGACTGATGTAGTCCTAAAGAACGAAACATATCACACACAAACCTTTTCCAATTTGTCATACATTTCCCTAAGATCATTTTCCCACTTTTGGTAAACCAACTTTATGACTCTGAAATAACAACACAAAAGTGTTTGGCATAGCTCGTCATCAGCTGGGCTTAACTAAGACGAACCAGTAGGGCATTGTCTAAAGAGAAAGAAGAACAGGCACAAAGAAAAAGTGATGGGATAACAATAACAAGAATAGACAGGAATGAGTTTGTATAAGATTTTTTTTTGTTCACTCAATACAAGGCTGAAGAGCCACACAAAATAGAGGGTTAAATGAATGAAATTATTGTAAAGGGAGAAAATAAGAAGTTATTGGGATATGTAGGATAAAAAAGTGATTGATGTGAAATTGTAATAATCAGAGAAGCATCCTCTCAGGTGTCGGTTCCACAAAATAAAAGTTTATGGGAAGAAGCTGAGTGAGACTTCTTCCTTATCAATTTGCTAAATTATGAAAAATAGGTACAAAGTTCTCAGAAGTAAAAATGATTTCCAATTGAAACAATGCCCTTGGGTTCGAGAGCTTGGGAACCACTTTACTAACATCATGCAGTCTTGACACTTATGCCTCGTTTTGCTAAGGCTAATGCGCACACAGCTAAGTAATATGCACATATGCACAGTGTTTGTTTAGTTGCTCTTTGCTAGCTTTTTTGCATATTCTTGTTTTGTTTTGTGTTCTTTGAGTTTGTCTTCCCTTCCTCAAAATAACGGCACCTTTTGGCCTTTTTTTCTTAAAGATAATACCCTTAAGAGACTGATTTTGATATTATGTCATCCATGTTCAGGTAAATTTCCACATAGATACCTGCAGGTATGTATAGGTGTATACATCGACATATGCAGAACAGGGGAGGATATGTGTGTTGATGAAATTGTTTTAGTCAGACACTTTAGTGCATCACCCATCTTTGTTCTTGCATTTTAATCAATGTTCTTTTTCTGACCATCATCTGATGGGTCTATACAAGCTGAAACTTTCCAAAATTGAATGCACTTACACGCACTTTAATTCCTGCCATAAATTTTCACTTTAAAAAGAAAAATTTGCAAAAAATCAATTGTCATCTTATAATCTGATGGTTACTAGTATTAGTCTAAGTACAAAAAAACCTATGTTGGCATATTAGTCTCCTTTATTAACCATAGAATATATATAATGACACAGTGCAAATAAAGACAATCCTGGAGGGTGTATTATAAGAGATGCAGCCAATATTAAATAAAGTTTTATTTTCCATAGGGGGGCCATATATTGAGTGTTTTGGAAAAATCAAAAACAAAAAAAAAATATATTTTTGTTTGACCATTTCTTTGACATTATCTTGAGTGAATTGAAACTGGTTCCAACGAACATGAGAACACTGGAATTAAAGAAACCTGTTGCATAAATATACACAGAACAATTCTTGAAAATGAACGTTGTAACATTCAAAAGTACTTTTAATATATATATATATATATATATATATATATATATATAGTCATCCACAGACTGTTTCGCTATAGCACAGCTCATCATGTAGCTAGATGTCTGGTTGCCTCTAGCTAGGATCAAAAGCCAGCTGAATTGGTGTAAGTTGGAGATTCTACCCCTAAGCTGTTGGCACACGGCAGTGATGAAGGAAAATTTAAGATTATTTATTTTTAGATAAACACATAGTAACTGAGAGAACTCAATTTGCATTACCGAAGAGTCTTGCATTATTACCTGTAATAGTCACTTTTTACAAACTCATACTTCCTCGCATAGAGGGCACAACCAAAATAAATTTTTCAGAAGCATATATATTGTCATACATAGACAGACTATTTTGCTGTATTACAGCTCATTAGTGTGGCTAGACATCCAATTGCCTCTAGCTAGGATAGAAACCTGGCTGAATGGGTGTCAGAGATTCTACTCCTAAGCCATTGCTGCATGGCAGGGATGAGGGTGAATTTAAGCATATTTATTTTTAAATAAACACACAGTGACTGAGACAACTCTATTCACTTTACCAAAGAGTCTTGCACTGTCAATAATTTATTATATATATATATATATATATATATATATATATATATATATATATATATATATATAATTATTGACATTTGGAAAATATGTTAATGAAAGTTTGTTTAAAAAAATGCATTTCATCTGTTAAGCCTCATCATTAAGTAAAACATGAAATGTGTAGTTGGATATTTTTTTCAAAACATCCTTTCATGAATGTTTTTTTCAAATGTCAATTACTTGTAACTCTGTTG